TGATGATGATGATGATGATGATGATGATGATGATGATGATGATGATGCTCATGCTCATGTTCATGCTCATGCTCATGCTGATGCTGCTGATGACGATGCTGCTGCTGATGATGATGATCATGATGTTGATGCTGATGCTGCTGCTGCTGATGATGATGATGATGCTGCTGCTACTGATGATGATGATGATGATGCTGCTGCTGCTGCTGCTGATGATTATGATGCTGCTGATAATGATGCTGCTGCTGCTGCTGCTGATGATGATGATGATGATGCTAATGCTGCTGCTGCTGATGCTGCTGCTGTTGATGATGATGATGATGATGCTGATGATAATGATGCTGCTGCCGATGATGATAATGCTGATGATGATTATGATGATGATTATTATGATGATTATTATGATGATTATGATGATGACGACGACGACGACGACGACGACGACGACGACGATGATGATGACGACGTGAAACACAAGTTCTTTGTGATGTGAATCACTCGATTCATCATGCTTCATTCGACCGGCACAACTGCCAGGCCCCATCTCCAGGCGGCGGAGTTGGACGTACGACGGAGCTTCCCACACGGAGACACCACCAAGCCCTGAGCCCCCAAGAGGATGCAAGATCTGTATGTGAAGTATGGCAAAATACCAGTGGAATGAGTCATCAGAACTATGCAAGTTGCAGAAGTTCGGCAGTGGTGCAATACTTCCACCCGAGGATTTTAGAATGGCAGGGGATATGCTGGATATACCGGTAGAATGGTACATTTTGGCCGGAGGCCCAACACATGATACTGGAAAGTATTCTAACTACACAACCTTTGAACCAAGACCTGGCTGGCTATTCCATTTCAACTGGCCCTTGCGTCTACTTAATATAGTGTGTGTATGCATTTGTATGTATGTGTTTGTGGCCCAAACAAAACAATAGAGAGTGCATGTTTGTCACCCACCTTGAACAACTCCAAGGCTTTTCGAGGTTCTTTTTGTTTCTCCTGGCAAAGAAAAGACCCGTCTCCGGAGTCTCCAGAATTCTTTAAGTCCACGGATCTTAGAAACCACGAAAAGCACCAACTTCATTCACAAAATCATCACCAACACCATTGCCACATGCCTTTGTTCTACACTGTTGAGCATTTGCTTTCAGGTGGAAAAAACACATGTGGTCCTCTTTCGCCTCTGTCCACACTCTCCGAGCACCGCATCGCTTCGTTTGGCGCCACTTTGGAGGCGCTGCATCTCGAGCGTCAAGAGCCTCTCGGGCTGCCAAGAAAAGGGACATGGTACCCACAAGAGCCGAAATTGGTGAGACACATTCGAGGATTTAGATGACAGTCATCATGATTGGCAGGATTTGTAATCTGAACTCTTAGTAATGGTTCTTTTTATGTCCAGCTCAAACAGGGCCGGAGTGAAGCTCCTGTGGCGCCTCTCGGATTCCTCACCGCACCGAGGGAGAAGCGGTCCAAAGCTTCCTCCAAGTGGCGGAGGCGTCGGCGGAGCCGAACACGGCAGCAGGCGGGTGGCTCGAGCGGCCGCGGCTCCGAGCCCTGCGGTGCTAGGAGGGGTGAGGACCCGCTGCTCCTTGTCATGTTCTCTTTGATTCCCCAAACAGTGTGGACACACCGGGGGTTCTTACGGTAGATGTAAAGGGGTGTCTAATCATGGTCACTGATGGACATGGTGGAGTTTTATGTGTTGTTTTGGGGGAACGATTAAGAGGTACGATGGTCAGGAATTCGAGGGGTACGAGGAGGTGAGGTTCTGCGTTGTACGAGCTCCTCTGACGTTGGAGACTTCATCGCATCGGACAAAAGAACAGCAACTCATGCAGAGGAGTTGTCCAGAGGCATTGAGGTGTCCTGCAACTGCTGTGCGTTGGAAAGATGTACAGACAGTATTCACAGTATACTTAACTGTCTGTATTGGCATACTCCACCAGACCCTGAGTATATCCCTTTCTCCTTTTGGTGTAGAAGTTTTTTTTAAACAAAACCACTAGAGCTTAAGCCCTTGGCAACGGACCATATTGAACAGCCAGATCTTTTTCTCCGTTCACCCGGGTTTTTTTAGCCATCTAACAATGCACCTTTTGGGGGAGAGACATCTCGGCGCATTGGTCCAGCGGGCTCTGGGGAGTTACTGGGCCACAGAGCACGGTGGATGCTGCGCTTTGGAATGAGCAACACATAGGAAAGCCAGCAGAAGACCTGCGGTTTCGCAACGGGGCTGTCAGGTGGGTTAGGAAAACTGGAGGAAAACACCGTTCGCTGGCACCGTTCGCTGGAGTGCTGTTGTCGGGTAGGTTTCACTGCGTGTGATGAACATTTTGTAGTTCCTGGTTCCTGATGACCTGACAAAAAAGGATCCCAGCAAAACATGCGTCACATTCAATCACATCCCATATGCCACTGACCTTTATGACCCAAAAAGAACAAGGAACAGAGACGTCATCCTTCAGACACTGCGCATCCATCCATACCACTCGCGATGCCATACGTCAAGCGCAACCCGACGTTGCGAGGCCGTGTCGGGCGCAAAGCCGTGGGGGTTCTGCTGGCGTTGTTGGCTGGCACCTTGACCGGTGTCCAGAGCCGCTCGGAGCATGGTGGGGCCATGCGGCCGCATACATGGTGGGGCCGTATGGGGCCGGGAATGAAGGATGATGCGGGTGGGGTGCGAGTTTGCTGGAAGTCAGCTAGGGTGGGAGGATAGAACGACCCACGAATGTGGGAGGTGTGAAACACATGTTGCATCGATTTTGGAGTCCATTCCACATTCGTTGAGAAAAA